GAGTTTGAACAGCTGATCTTGCAGTTACCAGCGCAACATATAACCCACTATGCCACCAGGGCTCCAAAGCCCATCGGTAGATGAAATAAAAGATGAGTGCCCAAGGGCTTCTTGATAAGGTGAATTACCACATATACTTGTGTATAAGCCGAGTTTTTCAGCACATTTTTAATGCTGTTTTGTGGTAAAATTGGGTGCCTCACCTGATATTAGGGTCAGCTTATACTCGATTATATACAGTAACTGAGAAGCAGTGTGATTAAGTTAGAGGAAAAAAAAGTTCCAGAGAAAAAGTATTTTCTCTCTATAAAAAAATGAAAGACTGAGAGGGGGAAAATGGCGACTCCATAGGACTCACCTGCCCAGAGCTCCTGCTGCCAGACCAGAAAATTGGGAGGGAAAGAGGGACCAGACTTAAAGCTAGTGCCAGCCGAATGCAGCATGCTGGCAAGGAGTGGGGAGCCAGTGGAGGTGCCTGAGGGTTCGGCCCCCATACCAGCTACGTGGACAACTGCCCCTCCCCCCAGAATAATTTACTTTAGAGGAAGGTACTGAAGCTGCAGCTAGGGGAGAGGGGCATGTCTGATGAGAGCAAATGAAGGGGGAGAAAGAGAGAGTGGGGCACAGCCTGGCCCACCAGACCGGGAGGACGATATCCCTGCTATGAACAGCCACTGCACAGAGTGGACAATATGGCTGATCCCACTAGAAGACACACTGTCCCTTGCTGGCCCAGGGCCCTAAGGGAGACAACAGTGGAGACTCAGTGTTGGGACTGGCCCAGACTGACCTCGTGATACCGAGGCAAACCACTAAAGGCTTGCGGCAGAGCAACCATGGGAGCAGAGCAGAGAGCCCCCGAGGGAGTACAAAGGACAGACTGGGGCCAGAGCATGGTACCCCATTGGACCTGACTGAAGGACACGCCTAGAGATCAAAAATCAGACCTTGATCTATTTACAGGTTTTCTTTCTTTAAAAGTTTTTTCCTTTTAATTAATTTATTCTTCTATGGATAATTGGTTTTCTTTTTGTTGTCATCACTGTGTTCTCATTCATCTCCTATCTTGCTATGGCTTGATTTTTGGTTCATATTATTATCTCTACAGATCTATCTAGATAAGATAGACTGGATGAATAGTCTGGGGGAGAAAACAATGGGACCAATAGTTCCGGGGTACACGGGAGAGGGAAAGGCGGGGGTAAGGAGGTGGTACTGACCAACCCAGGGACAGGGGAGCAACAAGTGATACAAAATCAGTGGCAAGGAGGAGGGTGTGAGAGACCAGGTAGGGATTCAGCAAGGGCAATGTAACCGAGAGAAATTACTGAAACCCAAATGAAGGCTGAGCATGATAGTGAGACAAGAGGAAAATAAAAGGAAATAGAGGAAAGAACTAGGTAACAAAGGGTATTTATAGAAGTCTAAAGACTGGAATGTACTTATGTAAATATATTTATGTAAGAGTGTGGGGAAATAGATCTACGTGCATATATTTATAGGTTTAGTATTAAGGCAGCAGATGGACATTGGGCCTCCAATCAAGTACTTAATGCAAGAACACGTTTTTCTACTAAATTGGCATTCTATGATGCACACCTTCCTGACACGGTAGCTGAACACAAAGCCCATCTAGCTGAGAAGCTCACCTTCCCAACACAACCGCTGAAGACGAAGCTAGTGAATAAGCAAATGTGGTGAAGAAAGCTGATGGTGCCCGGCTATCAAAAGATATAGCGTCTGGGGTCTTAAAGGCTTGAAG